TCTGACTGTGTAACTCCCAGAACCAAACTTCCCTAGAAAATAGGAAACTCAAAAGAAGATTGGAGTGGAAGACTAAGTATGGAACAATTTGAGATAAATAGAATCTAAGGGTCCTGGTGAGAAATCAATTAGGAAAGCTTGAGAAAGTCTAGAGCCCCATTTAATTTGTTTCATTAAATACCAGGAGAATGACTATTGTGAGACTTCCTAAAACTTACCCTTTATTAGTAATGTTTATCCTCTATTTCCTCATCGTGACTAGCAATAGTGAGCCTTAGAAAACTTCAGAACAACTGATGCTTACTCCAGAGTTAGAGAAAAAGGAAAGAAGCCTGTGTTCTTTTCTACAGTTAGCTAAGGTGGACAGAAACTCGGGGCTGAGGTAGTAGCTGAAGTCAGTGCAGTAGGCAGCCAGCAGGTCAATCCCCATCCCTGGGAATTTATACCAGATGAAGGCCTTAGAGCCTTCCAGGGGAAACAGGGAATGAAAGAGGAGGCAAGGAAGCTGCTTTAGGACATCAGTGCTCTGCTCCCTTATTCCCATCTCTCCATCCCACTACCTTTCTCCTTTTCTCTAGCCTACTTTCTAAATCCTTTCTTAGATTTCCAGTAGCTGTAGTTGCTAACCTCTCTCCTCATCCCAGGACCCCTCCATTCCAGAACCCTCAAAGTTTGAATTGACATATTTGGAAGGATGCCATGAGTCTGCCTAGCTGGTAGATGGAGTTCTGTGAACAGAATTAAACTAGTAGAAGGAGACTTTTACTTATACCTGTGGAGCCTTCCCAAAATCTGAAGAATGGGCAGAGTCCAGAGCTGAGTCTGGAAAGCCAGAGAGACATGTGAACATATTGCCAAAACTGAAGGCTCCAGAAATAGATCTCAAATTGCCAAGAATCCAAGAGTTTAAGGAATTTAAAGAAAGAGAAAAGAGAAGCAGTTTTAGAGTGAGGGGAGAGCAGACCTGGGAATTGCCAAGAACCAGCATTATTGTTTAACCGCAGCAGAGTAATGGGGTGTTGGACGTGTTTAGATAGACAGGGAAGAGGCAGAGTTCCTGTTGCCCATCAGGTTGAGGACAGAGTGAATAAGAGAAAGAGATGTATTCCTGACATCTCAGGATGGGAGCTGTAATACATTTCTCTCTAGAAAAATAATATGTATTCGATTAGTTTGATTTCTAGGCTAGCCTGCTAAAATAGAGTTGCCTCATAAGGAACTTGAAATATAGGCTCTGTCATGAAAAAAATCATCTTGGTAGAAAATAATGGGTCTTGAAATGAACTTTTGAATTAGGTTCCATTGACAAGTAGGGAACTACCTATAAATTAGAATTAAAGAAAAGTTAGCCAAACTTTGGGATGTTATTGTGGCTTACAGATATTCATTAAAAAGATAATTTACTCTTAATTTTTAAAAAGTAAAAATGATACTTTTGAAGAGTACTGATCAGTTATTTTATAGAGTGTCCCTCAATTTTGGCTTATCTTATGTTTTCTCATAATTGGAATGAGGTTATGCATTTTTGGCAAGAAAACTACAAAATGCTCTTATGTCCTTTTCAGTGTATCGTATCAAGGAATTCATAATATTGATGTATCTTACTAGTGATACTTACTTTGATCATTTGATTTAAGTTTGTGTCTGCTAGGAAGAACTATCACAGACTCGGGGAGACTCAGTAGAAATAACTACATACATTGTGGGTCCAGGATAGGATCCTAGAAAAGGACATTAGTGGAAAAACTGGTGAAATTTAAATAAAGTCTGTAGTGTAGTTAAGAATATTGTACCAATGTTCATTTCCAGTTCTTGATAATTGTCCTGTGGTAATATAAGATGTTAACATTAGGGGAAGAGGAGTGAGGGAGATAAGGATATGCTATATTATTTTTGCAACTTTCTCTAAGTCTTAAAATTAACTCAAAAGGTTAAAAACAATGATATCTAATACTTACATAGTGCCTACTGTGTGTACTGTCTTCATCTATTAACTCTTTGATTCCTCTCAACAACCTTATGAGGGGAACTATTATTATCCAGTTGATAGATGAGGAAACTAGATACAGAAAAGAAAGAAACATGTCCAGTATCACATGGTTATTAGTTACATAGCTAGAAAGTGGCTGAGTTGGGATTTGAACTAAGGCATTCTGGATCCAGAAATCCATTCATACTGCCTTTCAGTGTGCTGTATATACACATGGTTTAAAAATAAATTCAAACATACCAAAAACAGGTCTGTCCTCCCCTGAGGTAATCTGTTACTAGTTTTCTTCTTCTTTTTTTAATTCTTCAGAGAAGAATTTACTCCTGAACAATGATAGCAGCCAACTTTGGTTTTTATCCACAATATTTACAGCTGTGCTGTGGCAGTGTTTTGTTCTCCCTTCAGAAGCTTCTCTTGGTGTGCTGACTGTTGTAGATAGCAGCTGTATTGGAAACTAAGGAGTCCCATCTGAGTTGGTCAGATAGGAATCCTTTATGAATAAAGTGCTAATTGCTCATAACTTCTGGGTACAGTCTTTACAATAAGACTAAGTAGAATCAAATTTCATTTAAAATTTAGCCAAGAAGTTCTGCTGTCACTCTCATGAATGCTTTGATTAGTATGAATGCCTTTTTCATCTTAGTATAAGGATTACCTATTTATTTATTTTTTAAAAACCCAACTTCATAGCCGTTGTAACAATGGATTTGTTTGTATTCTCTCTCTCTCTTTTTTTTTTCTTTTTAAGGTACCTAAGCTAACAATTGTTGCCAATCTTTTCTTCTTCTTCCCCCCAAAGCCCCCAGTACATGGTTGTATGTTCTAGTTGTAGGTCCTTCTGGCTCTGCTATGTGGGATGCTGCCTCAGCATGGCTTGATAAGTGGCGCTAGGTCCGCGCCCAGGATCTGAACTGGCAAAACGCTGGGCTGTCGAAGCAGAGCACACAAACTTAACCACTCAGCCACAGAGCTGACCCCACTTTGTATTCTTTAAAATTGAAGAAAGATGATGATGTGTGGAGTAATGTAGATGGGACGTTTGGGAGTTTGAATGAATTACTTGAGTCTGGTTACCAGATAATGTAGAGACTGAGCTTGAACTTCCTATAACTGCCAGAGGTAGAGGGTTCCACAAGGTACATATTGCTCTGAAGGAAGATTCTGTGTTTGAGTGAAATAGAAAGTTGAGAAAATGCGTATGTTATCAGTTTCTGACTCAATAAGCTTCATAATTCTAGGAATTAATCATTGCTGAAGCATATATTTGGCGATATTCATTTCTATCTTTCGTCTTGGGCAAAAAAAAAAAAAACCTAATTATTTAAAAGGTGAGAAAAAGAGCAGGAATTTCCTATCTATTTATATACACACATACAAATACAGCGATCAGATAGCCTTTGCTGCAGAAGCAAAGTATGTTTGCCTTTCTTTCCATAGTTAGGGCCTTTTTTCCTGTTTTGAATTAAAATTTGTAAACAGAAGCAATAGTGACTTCTTTTCTGTTGCCTTTGGATTCATGGTGCAGGAGAAGAATCTAACAGGTACTTGCTTTGGAAAGCCCACAGGCCAAAGTTCTTTCGGTTTTCTTACTGTCTTTCCTTCCCTTCCTCTTGCTTTTCCCCCCAATATTTATTCATATTCCCAATCCTTCCCTCTCTCTTTCTCTATCCTTATTTTTAAATTGATTATAATATGGAATTGAATTTTTAAAAATACCTGTAAAACTTACTTTTAAAAGGTTATTTCTTGGTTTTAAATTTAAAAGATCATGAGTTGAATCCTTGAACCTTTCTTGTATCTCTAACTAAAAACTTGAATTAAGTGGCCTTTCGCTTACATTCTCAATTTTTCTCCATTGATTTTTCCCTTGTGGGTACCTCCCTTCCCTTGTAGGTAAGAAAAATAAATGTCTTTTACTTGCCATTCAGTACTCTCATTGCATATTCAGGCAATCTCAAATTGTGTGGACAACTAAAACTACCAAGTGACTGACAAAATTCAGTAGCATTAAGGGCAGGGGGATTTACTTAAGAGAAACAATGAGGAAACTATATAAATGTGAGTTGGAGAACTACTGCATTTGTACATATTTAACAAAGAGAAATAAGGGGATAAACCCTTAGCCAAATATGGCTGAATAAACCATTTAAACAGAACAAACCGTTAGGCAAATATGAGTTGGATGTGTAGCACTAACACTTATAAAATTAGCAAAAAGATTGTTGGTGGTGTTATATTCAGGAAACCTTTAGTTACTGGTTGGGAAATCAGAACCTACTTTCCCATAAGTGTTGAAATGGTGATGGTGATTGTTAAACTTGAGAGGTCTCTCCAGGGCAGGAAGCTTGTTAGATTTATCTTCTGTCTCCTCCTATTCGCCTTGCATAAAGTCAAGTCTTTTTTTTACCTCCAAATATATATATATATATATATATATATATATATAAAATTGAGATATAATTGACGTACATCATATTAGTTTCAGGTATACAACATAATGATTCAGTATTTGTATATATTGTGAAATGATCACCCCAAGTTTAGTTAACATCTGTCAGCATACATAATTACAGAACATTTTTTCCTGTGGTAAGAACTCCTAAGATCCCCTTTAAGCTACTTTCAGATGTGCAATACAGGATTATTAACTATAGTCGCCATGCTATACCTTACATCCCCATGACTTATTTATTTTCTAACTAGAAGTTTGTGCCTTTGACTACACCCCCTACCCCCTGCCTGTGGCAACCAATCTGTTCTCTGTATCTGTGAGCTTGGTTGTCACTTTTCTTTTTCAGATTCCACATAGCAGTGAGATCAAGTAAAGTCTTAATAAATATATTTATGTACTTTTTGGCTTACAAAATCTAGTTAACTTTTAAGGCACCTAAAATTCAAGCTTAAAAGTACTATAGAACTTAGCCGTCATATAATAATAGCCTCTTTCAGAGTTGTTGTAAAGTATCGCTGCACCTTTTCTCTCTCCTTCCTTCCTCTTTCTGGCCACTAGCCACTACAGACCTGTACCTGAATCTATCCTAAGACAAAGAAGAGTAACTGGGACAGCTGTGATCTCAGGAAAACCTGAAATTTGCAGTGGACAAAGAAGGAGAAGCATGAAAAAATGGGAAACTTCAGAATCCCATGCAGTGCTTCTGGATTGGAAAAGGGTCTCTCTAATTAGCGGATCCGTCTGCCGATCCTGAGATGGTATGTAAAGGATATATAATAATCAGTTATGCTAAATGGTGCATTAGGATTAAACTATGGAAGAATCCTGAGTTGTAGAGTCAAATATCTATTTCCAAATTTTATTAACATTGTCATATATTCTACTTAAGTCTTTCATTGATACATGAAAGGTCTTCATTCATTGGAATCCTACAGAAGTTTAGGAAGGAAGCCTGTTAAATCAAAAATCTTGGGGCTGGCCTCGTGGCCGAGTGGTTAAGTTCGTGTGCTGTGCTGCAGGCGGCCCAGTGTTTCGTTGGTTTGAATCCTGAGCGCAGACATGGCACTGCTCATCAAACCACGCTGAGGCAGCGTCCCACGTGCCACAACTAGAAGGACCCACAATGAAGAATATACGACTATGTACCGGGGGGCTTTGGGGAGAAAAAGGAAAAAAATAAAATCTTTAAAAAAAAAATCTTGATTAACCATGTACCTCAGAGACTGGTGTAGGTAGAGTGAAACAACTAGAATGTCTGTAAATGTGAAAAACAAAAACAGAAACACCCCAGCAGCGGTGTTGAAATAGTGCATCAGTTTGAAAGGTGATGTTATTCATTGGAAGCGTAGAGTGAGGAGCAAAGTTTGGGACAGAGATGAAAGAGTTCTTTCCAGACTATCTTGAGATATGTCTTGATAGGATAGTTCTTTATTTTAAAATATTATGGGTTCCTAGATTATCAGTCATAAGCCAAATTCAGATGTTAAGATTATTTTCAAAATACCACCACTACCCAACAATTGAAATAGATTCCAAAAATATGGGGCCGGCCCTGTGGCCGAGTGGTTGACTTCGCGCGCTCTGCTGCGGCGGCCTGGAGTTTCGCCTGTTTGGATCCTGGGCACGGACATGGCACCGCTCGTCAGGCCACGTTGAGGTGTCATCCCACATGCCACAACTGAAAGGACCTGCAACTAAGATATACAACTATGTACCAGGAGGATTTGGGGAGATAAAGCAGAAAAAAGAAAAAAAATTTAAAAAAAAAAGAAATAGATTCCAAAAACAAATATTTTGAATTGTCTACCATTGGATTGATTATCTTTGGAATATGTTTCCCTCCCTTCAAAAGATCATTTAGAATTGACTATAGAAAACTCATAATAGTTACCTTAATTGTCTCTGCTGTGTAATATCACTGAATAAAAGAAGGGGAAAGAGACTGTGTCCCGTGTTCTGACTTTCCTACCATCTCTTCCTTCCTTCCTTTATTTCTTCCTCCCTTCTTCTCTCTCTAGGCCTAAATTTTTAATTTTACCCAGGCAAGAAAGGATGACTGAATATGCCAACCTGACAATCAAAGAGTTCTGTTCGAGTTCTCTCTTCCAGTTGTTTCCCCATTAAACAGTCTTTCCTTTGAATGCAAAGAGTGTAGGATGCTATCCTGAGACCCTAATGCGTAACAACTTTGGTTAGGAGTGGTGGGAGTGGGTGGTAGCTTATTTTCTGACTGCAGCTCCAGATCAGTCAGCAACCTAATTTATTTATTTACTTTTCATTTATTTTATTGAGGTCATATTGGTTTATAACATTGTATGATTTCAGGTGTATATTATATCAGTTTCTGTTTAGACCGCATTGTGCTTACCACCAATAGTCTAATTTTTGTCTGTCACCATACGTATGTGCCCCTTTACCCCTATCACCCTCCCCCAACCCCTTTCCCCTCTGGTAACCACTAGCCTGTTCTCTTTGTCCATGTGTTTGTTTTTCTTCCACATATGAGTGAAATCATACAGTGTTTGTCTTTGGCTTATTTCGCTTAACATAATACCCTCAGTCCATCCATGTTGTTGCAAATGGGATGATTTTGTCTTTTTTTATTAGCTGCATAGTATTCCATTGTGTGTATATATATGCCACACCTTCTTTATCTGTTCATCAGTTGTTGGGCACTTGGGTTGCTTCCACATCTTGGCTATTGTGGGTAATGCTGCAGTGAACATAGGGGTGCATTAGTCTCTTTGGATTGTTGATTTCATGTTCTTTGGATAAATACCCAGTAGTGGGATAGCTGGATTGTATGGATTTCTATTTTTAATCTTTTAACAAATCTCCATACTGTATTCCATGATGGCTGCAACCAGTTTGCATTCCCACCAGCAGTGTATGAGGGTTCTTTTTTCTCCACATCCTCTCCAACATTTGTTATTTTTTTCTCTTGGTAATTATAGCCATTCTGACTGGTGTAAGGTGATAGCTCATTGTAGTTTTGATTCAGCAACCTAATTTAGAGTTTGCTGAAGGCTTCTTTTAGAATGGATTATGACTTAAGGACTTAGAGAACCTTCAGAAGTATGGCATTAAAATAGCCAGAGGTTTGGTGAAATACTGTGAAAAACTAAAGGAGTAGAGGTGATTTAATTTAAGAAGGAAAAGCTGAGTCAAGTACTAGTCATTAGGGAAATGGGTATATGAAAAGAGTATTGGCCTGTGCCTTAGGAATTAGGGGTTTAATCTAGATTCTACTAGCTAACTGAATCTTAACTCCATAATTCAGGAAATAAGGTGGCACTGAAGCAGATGATTTCTAAGGTCCTTTAAACTCTAAGAGTCTGTGCATTCGTATCTATCAAAAGCATTTCATATTGTTGAATCCCTCCTTCTTGAAATTCTCTTCCTCTGGCTCTGTGGTATTGTGCTCAGGGTTTTCCTCCTGCTTCCCTGGCTGTTGTTCTTTGCAGGCCCATCTTCTCCTCCCTATTAATTAAATGTTGTGTCTTCAGGATTCAGACCTACGCAGTCTTTTATCAGTTTCTATCCTCTATCCTCTATGACTAGCCATATCTTAGGCAGTATAGTCAATGATCATGCTTCAGTAACTATATATCAGTGATTCCAAAATTATATTTCTAATCTGGACCTCTTATCTGAGTTCTAGATCTGTATATACAACTGCCTACTCAACATCCCCATTTGGGTATTTAAGAAGCACCTCAGATTCAACATATCCAAAACCAAACTCATAAAATCTTTCCTCCTACAGTGTACCTAACCTGAGTGTATGGCACCATCACCCACCAGTTGCAGCCAGTTGTGCAAGCCAGAAACATAGGAGTCTGCAGTAGCTTCTTAAGTGATCACCCTGTGTCCATTCTGTTTTCCCTCTAATCTAGTCTCCACAGGGGAACCAGAGGGATCTTTTTAAAAAGGCAGATCCAATCTTGTGCCTCTGTGGTACTCTTAAAACATTCCAGGGGCCAGCCTGATGGCGCAGCGGTTAAGTTCGCACGTTCCACTTCTCGGTGGCCCGGGGTTTGCTGGTTCAGATCCCAGGTGCGGACATGGCACCGCTTGGCAAAAAGCCATACTATGTATAAAGTAGAGGAAGATGGGCATGGATGTTAGCTCAGGGCCAGTCTTATGAAGTAGAGGAAGATGGGCATGGATATTAGTTCAGGGCCAGTCTTCCTCAGCAAAAAGAGGAGGATTGGCAGTTAGCTCAGGGCTAATCATCTTCTTCTTCAAAAAAAATTCCAATAGCATTTAGGATTAAGACCAAATTCATTATAATGGCCCTACCTGCCTCCCCAGCCTCATTTTCTACCTCTCTGCCTGTTGTTATCTGAGCACCAGCCACACTAACCTTCTTTCAGTTCTTCACATGTGCCAGAGTCCTTCCCACACATCCCATAGGGCCTTTCCTTGCTCTTCCCTAAGCCCAGAACATTTCCCATTCCCTTTCCCATTGCACATATTACTCATCCTTCTGCTTTGAGCTCAGTGGTAACTTTCTTTTATAATAGCCTTCCCTGACCCCCTCGAATCTAGATGAGGTTCTTTTATTAAATGTTCTCATAGAAGTATGTTCTTTTCTTTCATAGCACTTATCTCAGTTTATTTTTATATACTCCTTTATGATAAGTTAATTAGTGTCTGTCTCCTCCTCTAGACTGTAAGTGTTACAAGGGCAAGGACAGTTTCAGATTTTTGCTTAGTATCATAAGATTCTTTATAGTGCCAATCACATAATAGGTAGTTTGAATTATTTGTAGAGAGAATAATTTAAATAGCTGTGCGATGCAGCTTTTTTTCAGTTTTCACCAAGATTGGGGTGAAGCCAAAAGTGGAACAATAGAATCAATCTTCAACCACTCACTTGCTGTGAGCTTTTTTCCATTTAGGGTATTAACTTGTTCAAGCCATTCCTAGCTTTGGACTTATAAAAGCAAGACAAAGCAAAGCAAAAAAACAAAAACCTTCCTCATCTCCATATTCTCACCTAGCTGCTTTATTTGTTTCCTTTCCAGTAGAGCTGTTGAAAACGTAGAGATAGCGTAGTGTTTGAGAACATGGGCTCAAGCTAAAAGACCAGGATTCAAGTTTCAGCTCTGCTGCTTCTAGATGTATGACCTTGCTTCAACTCTTCAAATGATGAAGTGAGAGAAATAATAGTTTTTTATAAGGTTGCTTTGAGGATCAAATGAAAATACATGTGAGGTGCTTAACACTGTGCCTGGCACATATTTAGTTCTCAGTAAATGTTAGCAGTGATCATCGTTGTCATCATCGTTGTTGTAAACTGAGTTGCGTTCCTCCATAATTCATAGGTTGAAGCCCTAACCCCCAGTGTAACTATATGTAACTATTTGGAGATAGAGCCTTTAAGGAGATAATTAAGGTTAAATGGAGTTGTAAGAATGGGGCCCTAATCCAGTAGGACAAGTGTGTTTACAAGAAGAGGAAGAGACACCAGGGGCACATGCACAGAGAAAAAAGGCTCTTTGAGGACACAGAAAAATGATGGCTATCTGTAAGCCAATAAAAGAGGACTCAAGATCACCAAACCTACTGGCACCTTGACTTTGAACTTCTAGCCTTCAGAACTGTGAGAAAATAAATTTCTGTTGTTTAAGCCACCCAATCTGTAGTATTTGTTATGGCAGGACTAGTGGACTAACACAGTCATCATCGTACCATGTTTTTAGTAAGCTCTCTGCATAGTCTTTACTTTCTCCTATTTTGTGTTTAACCTGCT